TCAATATAATCAAGGCTGTGTAAGGCAAACCTACAGCCAGCATTATACTTAATGGGGAAAAGCTAAAGCCATTTCCTCTAAATTCAGGAATGAGACAAGGATGTTCGCTCTCTCTACTCTTCTTCAATTTAGTATTGGAATGCCTCACTAGAGAAATAAGGCAAGATACAAACATAAAGGGGATCCAAATAGGAAAGAAGTAAAACTCTCCCTCTTTGCAGATGACATGATCTTGTATTTAAAGAACCCCATAGACTCCACTCCTAAGTTACTCAAGCTGATCTGAAACTTTAGCAAAGGAACAGGGTATAAAATTAACCCTCAAAAATCAATGGCTTTTCTCCATAGTAATCAAAACAGCTTGGTACTGGCACAAGAACAGACGTCAGGAATGAACCTACAGACTTATAGCCATATAATCTTCAATAAGGGAGCAAAAAAAATAGAATGGAAGAAAGACAGCCTCTTTAGTAAATGGTGCTGGCAAAACTGGTTAACTACTTGTAGAAAACTAAAGCTAGATCCTTATATATCACCCTGCACCAGAATCAACTCCAAATGGATCAAAGACCTCAGAGTCAAAGCAGACACTCTGCAATTATTACAGGACGGAATAGGAAAAACCCTAGGTCTCCTTGGCACAGGACGAAATTTTCTTAATAGAGACCCAGAAACACAACAAATCAAAGAAAGGTTGAACAAATGGAATTGCATGAAATTGCAGAGCTTCTGCATGGCAAAGGACATAGCTAGCAAGATCAATAGAAAGCCCACAGATTGGGAGAAGATCTTCACTAGCTATATAACAGACAAGGGTCTCATATCTAAAATATACCTGGAACTCAAAAAAATTAAATCCCTCAACAACAAATCTTCAAAGAAACAATTGCCCAATAAATAAGTGGGCTAAAGACTTAAACAGAAACTTCTCTGAAGGGGAAAGAAGGATGGCCAATAGACACATGAAGAAATGCTCAACCTCTCTAGCCATAAAAGAAATGCAAATCAAAACAACATTGAGATACCACCTCAGAATGGCTATAATCAAGAACTCTAATAACAACAGATACTGGAGGGCATGTGGACAGAAGGGAACCTTACTGCATTGTTGGTGGGAGTGTAAACTTGTTCAACCACTTTGGAAAGTAGTATGGAGGTTCCTCAAAAGACTCCACATAGAGCTCCCCTATGACCCAGCAATCCCACTTTTGGGCATTTACCCAAATGTTCACAAACAAGACTACACTAAAGCTACCATCACAACTATGTTTATTGCAGCATTATTTACCATAGCTAAGATATGGAACCAACCCAGATGCCCCTCAGTAGATGAATGGATCGAGAAAATGTGGTATATATACACAATGGAATTCTATGCCTCCATCAGCAAGAATGACATTGCCCATTTGTTAGGAAATGGAAAGACTTGGAAAAAATTATATTAAGTGAAAAAAGCCAGGCCCAACATAGGTTCCATGGTTTCCCTTATTTGCAATAACTAGTATATGTCTGAGTCAAGCAGCAAAGTTAATCAGATAAGTTGATGTTAGGGAAATGAACCCTAAGATATGTATTCAAATGTTTTTTTCTTTCATGCGATTGTTTTTAACACATTTATAAGATGATTTCTCCATTGCTTTGTATGTCCCTCCCCCACGGTATAACCTCTGCTTTCACTGTATTTGATGATGGTATAATTTGTGGAGGGGAAGGGAAAAAACAACTTGTTTAAATAGGGATACAAGTGGACCCATTGCAACAATGAGATGTACAAGTCATTATGTTGAAAACAAACTTTACAACTTTGGTGGGGGGCAGGATGGGAGGAGGATTGGGTGGGGGAATGCAAGGAGGATAGGAAGGGATGGGAAGGGGAAACAAAGGAGGAGGCTACAATGCTTGATAAGAAATGTACTCATTATCTTGCCCGTAATTGTAACCCCTCTGTACAGTATTTTCACAATAAAAAAAAAATCTAATGCTTTTCTGTATGCCAATAAGAAGAAGAGCATGGCTAAAAGCAGGAAAGCAACTACTTTGTAAAAAGAAAATACCTAGGAATTACCTTAACCAAAGAAGTGAAGAATGACTATGATGAAAACTTTAAAAAACCTGAAAAAGGAAATTAAAGCAGAACTAAGGAAGTGGAAAAAACCTCCCAGGCTCCAGGATTGGGAGGATTAACATCATGAAAATGGCAATACTGCCAAAGGCTATCTACAAATTCAATGCAATACCCATCAATATCTCAAGCTTATTCTTTAATGAAATAGAAGAAGCAATGCAAAAATGTATATGGAACAATAAAAGACCCAGAATAGCAAAAACAATCCTTAGCAGAAAGAAGAGTCCTAGAGGAATACCAATACCAAACTTCAAACTCTACTACAAAGCCATAGTAATCAAAACAGCTTGGTACTAGCACAAGAACAGACCTGAGTACCAATGGAATAGAACTGAAGACCCAGAAATGAACCCACAGACCTATAGCCACCTAATCTTTGATAAGGGAGCCAAAAAAATAGGATAGAAGACAGCCTCTTCAGTAATTGGCGCTGGCAAAAATGGTTAAACACCTGTAAAAAAAACTAAAGTTAGATCCTTATATATCATCCTGCACCAGAATCAACTCCAAATGGATCAAAGACCTCAGAGTCAAAGCAGACACCCTGAAAACATTATAAGAAAGAATAGGAGAAACCCTAGGTCTCCTTGGCACAGGCTGAAATTTTCTTTATAGAGACCCAGAAACACAACAAATCAAAGAAAGGTTGGAAAAATGGAATTGCATGAAATTGCAGAGCTTCTACATGGCAAAGGACATAGCTAGCAAGATAAATAGAAAGCCCATAGATTGGGAGAAGATCTTCACTAGCCATATAACAGACAAGGGTCTCATATCTAAAATATACCTGGAACTCAAAAAAATTAAATCCCGTGGCTGGGAAGGTGGCTCAGTGGTAGAGTGCTTGCCTGGCATGCCTGAGGCCCTGGGTTCGATTCTCAGTACCACATAAGCAAAAAGAAAAAAGCCGGAAGTGGTGCTATGGCTCAAGTGGTAGAGCGCCAGCCTTGAGCTGAAGAGCTGAGGGACAGTGCCCAGGCCCAGAATTCAGGCCCCATGACCGGACCCAAAAATAAATAAATTAATAAATCCCCCAACAACAAATCCTCAAGGAAACAACAGCCCAATTAATAAGTGGACGAAAGCCTTAAAGAGAGACTTCTCTGAAGAGGAAATAAGAATGGCCAATAGACACATGAAGAAATGCTCAACCTCTCTAGCCATAAAAGAAATACAAATCAAAACACCATTGAGATTCCACCTCCCCCCAGTTAGAATGGCTATAATCAAGGGATCTAATAACAACAGATGCTGGAAGAGATGTGGTCAAAAGAGAACCCTACTGCATTGTTGGTGGGAGTGTAAACTTGTTCAACCACCTTAGAAAGGAGTATGGAGGTTCCTCAAAAGACTCCACATAGAGCTCCCCTATGACCCAGCAATCCCACTTCTGGGCATTTATCCAAACGATCACAAATTTTTATTAAAGCTACCAGCACAACTATGTTTATCACAGCATCATTCACCATAGACAAGATATGGTACTAACCCAGATGTCCCTCAATAGATGAAGGGATCAAGAAAATGTGGATTATATATACAATGGAATTCTATGCTCCCATCAGAAAGAATGGCACTGCCCCATTTGTAAGGAAATGGAAAGACTGGGGGAAAAAATCATATTAAGTGAAGTAAGCAGAACCAAAGAAACTTAGGTCTTATGGTTTATTTGAAATAATTAGTTTACTTCTAGGATAATCCTAGCAGATGAGCAGAATAGCTCGATAGCTATGAACATATGACCATGTAAGATGATGCTAAGGGAAATGAACTCCAAAACATGGACACAAAAAGCTTATCTTTGTCATTGTTGTTTTTAATGTAATTTTTTTCCTTTTGTATGGTTTTCCCCCTATAGTATATCCTCTGTTGTTGCTGTGTTTGATTTTGGTACCCTGGTATTGTATATATGTTTATCTGAACTAGGGAAGGGAAGGGAAACAACAAAATTATGAGACAAAGGACAAAGGGGAAACCAATGCAATAGCAATATACACAAGACAATATGTTAGAAATACTGTGTAAACCTTGGGGGAGATTGGGGGGAGGGAAAGTAAGAGAAAATTGAGGGAAAGGGTAACAACTTTAACAAGAAATCTACTCATTACCTTACTTATAAAACTGAAATCTCTCTTTATATCACATTAACAATAAATAAATAAAAAAATAATAATAAAAATGTTCATGTTCTTGGCATTATCATCAAGAATATTTTCCCTCAATATTCATAAGTCAAACTACAGTAAAGGCACCTGTTCATTGCTGCACTAGTCACCATACCCAAATTATGGAAACAGATGTCCTACAACAGGCAAATGGATTAAGAATATATATATGTATATATATAATATAGAGAGATTATATCTATCTATATCTATATGTAAATTTATAAATTTATAAATATATATATTATATATTGTGCATACACACAGAGACCACAATAGAATTTCGTTAACTTATCAGAAGGAATAATATGGGCTGGGAATATAACTTACTGATAGAGTGCTTACTTAGCATGCATGAAGCCCTGGGTTCCATTCCTCAGTATCACATAAACAGAAAAAGCCAGAAGTGGCTCAAGTGGTCGAGTGTTAGCCTTGAGCAAAAGAAGCTCAGGGACTATACCCAGGTGTGCCAGTACTGGAGCATGCTTTCACTTGGCTTTTTCACTCAGGGCTAAACTGCTGTCACTTGAGCAATGCTTCTACTTTGGGCTTTTTACTGCTTAATTGGAGTAAGAGTAGCATGGATTTATCTACCCAGGATGGAAGATCTCAGCTTCCTGAGTAGCTAGGATTGCAAGTGAGAGTCACCAGTGCCCTGCAGTAATTGCTACTCTTGTGCAGCCAGTAGCTGCGAGGAAATTAGAACTCACCTACAAAAAGAGATATCGCACCACAAAGGGGAGAGATCACAAGGCGTGAGACTTCTTCTACTGCAAGTTTCTCAGCAGTGAACTTTATTATATCTTTAGGTTTCTCTTCAACTTCATCCACTTCTTTCCTAGAAATAGGGTATTAATAAACCTTAAGAGAAATTCTACAGGCAAATGTTCAATATAGAAGCTGTTTCCATTTACATTATTCTATGCTAAAGGTGTTAGGAGAGAGGATTTGATCCGAAGGATAAAATAAGCAAGTGTACAGTTTTAGCAAACTGGTATAGCCATAAATATCTCTGATGAATCAGGCATTATAGATATATATGAAGGCAACATGATCAAAGTCAGTTACCAAACTGTAATCTATCTCCTGTGTCGATTCTAGCACTGCCATTCCTATGTCTTAGCACAGTGTAGCAGGTATCGTCACTTTCATCTACAAGTACTTCACCTCTCACCACCATGTAACCATGCTCCATACCTAGAACACCTTTTCCTTTACCCAAAAAATAAGAGAGGGAGAGCAGAAGTGATGGAGAGTCCATAGGAACCAATATCCCTTCACAACATGCCACAAGCTAGCTAAGTTACAGACGCAATAAGGGATCTGTATATCTATTCCCCAGGTATTGTGTCATCTTTTACTTTGCATTTCTCATCCAATTCATCAAACAGGGGAACAAGAGCAAAGGCTCCTGTTTTTCTTTTACATATATAGTTTTTAATTGTAGAAATACTGTACAGAGGGATTATAGTTACATGAGTAAGGTAATGAGTACATTTCCTATCAAGCATTGTTACTTCCTCCTTTGCTTTGACTCCTGTTTTTCAAAGTACTGATTGAATTTGAATGGAAGAAACAGACCAGTAACAAGGAATCACAAGCAGGGGTAGCTGATGTCAATAAGCAAGAGTCTGACAGGACATGATGCATGAGGGGAGACCAAAGGTCTCTCTCCAGAGATAATATTTAAAGCTGAGACTTGAAAGACAAAGTAACATGGAGAAATGGGAATAGAGTCACAAGTAGACAAAGGGGAGTGGCAAATGTGAAGACTCCAGGGAAAGAAAGAGTGTGATGTGCTCAGAACCTAGCAAGAGATGCAGCCCAGTCAAGCAGAGATGCAGCAGGGAGGGAGGCCTTTGCAGGCCCGAAGTTTTATTATCATAAATCCTGGGAGGTTTCATCTGAATTGAAAAATGAATGATAAAAGCTCAGAGAAACTGTTAAGGATTCATTCAATGTGCTGAAATTACAAACAAAAATTCTTAATAAACTCAAATGTTTGTTTCCTTATATCCTTCCGTCTACTGGAAAGACAAGCACAATTATTCATTTACTATACCTTCCAGGATTTTTGACCTCCTTCATGCCATCTATAATTCTTCTATGACATTTTATTGCACTAAGACACAGATAACCCAAATGGACTCTCAGTGCTTCAAACCACAGAGTTCCATTATTTCTGACTGTACAAGACTACTAAACCTAGCTAGCAGCTTCTAAAATGACTTAACACAAACCTCATCAAACACACTTAAATAATGCTACTGGGTAATCTTTCTAACCTTTCCAAAGAATTGTTGTATTAAAGAATTCTCCTGCCTCCAGGTGGTCACCCTGAGCAAGGCCCTCTAAATGTGGAGTCCCAGCAATCCTGCTGAACAGGTCTGTTCTTCATTTGATGGGGGCACTGCTCTGCGAGTAAGTGGGGTGAGAAAAATGAACAGAATCCTTGGCTCATTCCTGTCTTTAATGGAGCCACAGTTTTGCCACTGAGTATGATATGTGTTATTGGTTTTAGGGAAAAAAAATCCTACCAGACATTTCATTACCTACATAAGACTTTTTGTTCAGATGGCACTAAAATTAAGAGAAATATGCTCTCTCCAAACCGTACCGAACAATATTCTTAAGCATGATCCTACTCTATCCAATATGGTCTGGGTTGCTTAGAAAAAGAAGAAAAATGGAATGACTCACAAAGCCACAGTAACAGTCATTCCTTTACAACTCAGTTTTATTTTCAGATCTGGCTTTCTAGTTGTGTAATTCTCTACATTGTCAAGAACAGCTAAAATTTAGTAGTAGTAATAAAACAAAAAGCACCGGCACCAGTAGTTCACGCCTGTAATCCTAGCTACTCAGGAGCTGAGATCTGAGGATTGCAGTTCAAAGCCAGCCCAGGTAGGAAAGGCCATGAGACTCTTGTCTCCAATAAACCACTCAGAAAACCAGAAGTGATGCTGTGGCTCAAGTGGTAGAGTGCTAGCCTTGAGCTGAAGAGCTGAGGGACAGCACCCAGACCCAGAGTTCAAGCCCCATGACCAACCAAAAAAAAAAAAAAGGAGGTAAAATCCAATAATATCCATTTAAATGTCAGCTCTACCACTCCCTTTTCTTGTTTATTTACTTTTGTTTGGTTGTTGTTGTTTGTTTTCTTGAGATGTTAAGACTGAACTGAGGGCTTCCCACATGCTAAGCTAGTGCTTTACTATGTAAGCTATGTCACAGTCCTTCTGTTTGTGTTTTTGTATGTGAGGTAGAGTCTCCCTAACTTTGCACAGGCTGAACCTGAATATTTGATCCTTCTACCTCTACCTTAAAAGTAGCTGGAATTACATTATAAACCTCCACAAAAGCAAGCTTGGGGTTTATTACTTCATGCAGCTTTAGTTTTCCTAACAGGAAAATGTGGATATTAACACTCCAAAGTCCAGTTCTGTGTAATAAGCCATGTTGGAGTATAATAAAGATATCAAGGTGATATTAAACTGCTTACAGTAGAGTTGAAGCAGAGGTAAGAGGTTGGTGTCTATAACTGTCTCTATATCAAGCAAGAGCTACTATGTCAGAAGGAGAGAAACAGTACAGACTTACGAAGAATTTACAGGAAGGCAAACTACATACAAGTTATCATCTGCATGCTCCACCTCCTTCGGTCTGGTTAAGAAGAAAAACCAATCTCAATACCTAGATTGTTCAACAGTGCTACCCTCCACTAATGGGGGGGATGATGGCGATCTCATCTCCTGGTTGAAGCAGGAGGAGCTGATCTCCGAGCTCGACATATTCTTGACGAACAGCAAATATCACCTGATTTCTAACATCAGCCAATCTGAAGAGTAAAAGGTTTAATTAGCGGTTTCAGTGTGTAACAGATATCTAAAAATGTTTAGTATTAATAAAAGATGTTATGAAGTATCACCCGTCAACACTCTGTGTGGGCAAAGGTCACAAGTATGTATTGCAAAGAATATATTAACTGCTCATTACTCTTTACTGTACTCTGTACTAAGTGCTGTATGTTTTAGAAAACAGACATAAAAATTAGACTAAAGGCAACATTCAAATTAGGCCAAAAGAAAATAATTATTTTCTAACCAGTACATGGCATTTTCATGGGTCTTCTAAGTACAATAAGTATATTAGAAGTAACAAATAGATATGTCCCCCCACACTCCCAAGTTTGCACTGCCTGGCAGGACACTTTAAAAACAATTTGTCAAGAATAGGAGTTTCCTTTGGAGCACATTTTGTGGAGTCTTTCTGGACAACACTAAAATTCCTGATTAAACAACTACAAACTTAACTGACACTATTAATATTTCTGGAAAACTCTCTTACATTTTGTTGTAAACAGAGTTGGCAACAAGAATGGCTGCAGTAAAATAATAGATTTTTAAGAACCAGAGAAAAATAATTAAAATCTAACTCAAGTTCAGTACCACTTAGGGTTTTGTAGCTCATTTTTGTTTTAATCCTAAAGATTTCTATCCTTAGGGTTCTAAAGAGAGAAGAAAATGCAACCTATATTTTCAATATCTTACAAATTATGAAAGTCATTGTCAGTGACATAACCATGTTTATCTGGGTGTCATCTCAGTCTTTTTAGTAAGTAATTTGTAATGCTCTCTATGAATTTGGCACATAAAAACTAGAGTTTATGATTTGAGGAGTGGTACCAGAAAATTATAGCTAACAACCCTTTTTAACATTAAGCATGGAAATCAAAATTAATCTTTTTAAAAGTTTTAGCAAGGATTTGAGTTAAATTAGGAAGAAATAGCAAACATGGCTTTCTTCTCATTCAGGAAATGAGAGTTAAAGATGCTAAAGTTAACCTCAGCTTTACTTTGATCGTTTACACATTTTTTAATATTAAAAGGTGTGCAAAGTGTTCATCATATGCAAAGTACCAATCCTCATTTACCCAGGATGATGAGCTTCTATCTCTTTCCACAGCTGAGATGCTTTGATTTCTTGAGGCACAGAAAGAGTCTCTGAACGAATGCCAGTTATTTCAGCACTTTTTGCAAAATATAATACTTCCACCTGAAAAGAGGAAAATGCCTTTTATAATAGTAATAATAATAATAATAATAATGCATAGTTCTTTTCTGACTGCCCACACCCAGTTTTCTCATTTTCCAATATTTTAATTAAAGACAAAGTTGGTGACAGAAAAAAATTAAGTTGCTTACAAAAGAAACTCCAAACTATATTCCAGTTTAACACACACACCAGATTCATTCCGCATGTGTTTGGGGGTTTTGGTTTTTGGTTTTTTCGTTTTACAAATTAAAATCTCGTCTGTCTCCGTAGAAAACATGGTCAATCTGTCTTGCATTGATACACTATCATAGCATCTTGTGCACATCTGCACGCAGTGAGCAACTGTCGGGGTCTGAATGAATTGCACAGATAAATGGCCACAGTAGCCAGTGGCTTGTTTTCAGAGTTGCAGGATGACCTTTGCGTGGGGTGAACAGTGACGCAACATACAACAGCTGACGTGGGCAACAGCACCGGCTTGGAAATACAGGGTAGACCGGTACATCCAAGGTAAACCCGGGCAGTCGGCCAGCGCACTGGGGATCCCAGCAGGTGCTCGAGTCCGCGGCCACCAGGTACGATGGACCCCTCGGAATAAGCACAGGCCCGCGCCCCACCCAGGCGGCGGCGGCTCAGAGGGGGCGAATATTTCTTCGCAGGATCGCTTAATAACATCTTTCATTAAAGCGAATAAACTGAGAGTCCTTCGGCCGGACACGGGGGCCGGGACCCCCGGAGTTGACCCCGCCCCGTACCCCAAGTGTAGCACCGGGCTCCGCGTCACCGGAGGACGCAGTAGATCACCTGCAGAATCCCCGCTGGGGCACAGCCGCACGGCCAGGCCCGGCCAGGCTGGGAGGGCGGGCGAAGGGTCGGGCGATCTGCGGAGCTGGGCGGGATCTGCAGAGAGAGGGGCGCCCGGGCCGGCTCGCCGCCCCCGAGACCCTTACCTGGCACCGCGGCACCATCCCGCCGAGCGCACCAGGCAGGAATTCCAACTGCCCCCGAGCCCGAGGCCCCAGAGCGCAGGCGCGGCTGGATGACGCCCCTCCCACCCGGTCGGATGCGCCCACGGGGCGCATGCGCAGTGCTAGCTCCGCCCCCTCCCTTCCCCGATTGGTGCCCCGCCCTTCAAGTGCCCGCTGTGCCTGCGCCTGGGAAAGCTTGTTGCTTTCTGGCTAGGTAGCCGAGTGAAATGCGCCGCAGTAGTTGGGAAAGTAGGAAACAGAGAGCTGGATGTGCATCTTGTCATTTTCTAAAGAACCATTATGCAATCGTTATGTAGACGGAAGAGGAAAGGCTGGTCTCAAATTCTCATTTCTTAGGAATCTAATCTGTGCACCTGAAGAAATGCAGGGAGAGAAAGAAGAGACCGAATTATGCAGTGAACGCCAAAGCCTAAATCTCGTTTAAGGAGCAGAATCTGAGATCTTAGGAAGCTGTTAATGCTGACTTTTTAGAAGTATTAAGGCGATTTGGTGAAGGGGAACTGGTGAAGCAGAAATCTTCAGCGAAAGAGAAGACCCATCCTCCTTAGGAAATAATGCAGTAAAATCCGTGGCACTTTCAGGTGAAGGAAGGCGCTAGGCCCAGAGTCCCGGATGGACAGCACAGGTGGACGCCGAGGTTCTCAATAAAAGAGCCAAAGCCGAATCCACATCTGGTACACCTGTCAGCCCTTAAGGAGTAAATATAACTAATGTCTGAATAAGAAATGAGAATGCATGCCTCTCCTCAGGAGTAGCAAAAGCTCCAGAGGCAGAGCAGAGTAGAGCAAGAAGTGGACATGATCAATCGAATCCTAGGACTGGAAGAGTACATGCTTAACATTATGAAGTGTTGTGTGTGCCCCCTTAAAATTCATAGGTTCACAGCCTGCCCCACAAGCTGATGGCCTCTCAAGGTAGGCAGATGAGAAGAAATTCGGTCATGAGCGTAGAGGCCTCATGCAAAGGATTAGCGACTTTACAAACTGGAATCCAGAGAGCCAGCACACTTTCATTCATAGATAGATAGATAGATCAAAAGGTCCCTTAACAGAATTCAAAAATAATGAGACCTCATCTTAGACTTCCAGCCTCCAGAACTATGAGAAATAATTTTTTGTTGTTTATAAGCCAACCACTTTATAATACAGTCAACCACTTTATAATACATTGAGTTTCACATGTGTGGACTCAACTGATTGATTTTAAAATTTGCATCTGTAAATGGGCAAGGATTGTCTTTAATACATTGAGTTTCACATGGGTGGACTCAACTGATTGATTTTAAAATTTGCATCTGTAAATGGTCAAGGATTGTCCTTAATACATTGAGTTTCACATGGGTGGACTCTTAAAATTTGCATCTGTAAATGGGCATGGGCAAGGATTGTCCTTAACAATATAGTGTAACAATATTGTTGCCTAAGCAATACAGTATAACAACTCTTTACATAAGGTTTATACTGTATTAGGTTGTATAAGAAATCTAGTCATGATTTACAGTATGCAGGAGAATGTAAGCTATAGGGAAATACTGTCATTTAATATAGGAGACCTAGGCCTCTGCAGATTTGGGTATCCATGTGAATTTCAGAACCAATCTTCCATGGATACCAAGGGATGATGGTACCCTGGTAGAGCAGCCCAAGCTGAAATAAACTCAGACAAATACCTTTAATAAAATGCAACAAGCAAAACAAGCCAGTCTGAAGAATCTCCAGCACCATTTTCTCCTGACCTTATTCTCTCAGGCTACAAAATATTTTCTTTATCATACTGCAATGGTCAGAAAACTTTTCTATAACAATTTAAACTTGCCAAGTTGTTATGATTTCTATCTTAGCTGTCCAGTTCTGCAACTGCACATAAGGCAGCCAGTGACAAGGAGTAAAGGAATGAGCCTGGCTGTGGTTTGATATAGCTACAAAAATATTAGGCAAGCTATTTGTCCACAGGCCATCTTTGCTAATCCTTAAACTATAAAGTAAGAGAAGAAGGCAAGAAAATAGTGAGAAGTTGGTCACTTTATAGTTCACATTAAACTATCTTGGACAAAATTTTCCATTTAAGTAAAATGAGAAACAAACAGGAAAACATTAACAGAAAATAAAATATAGACTAGCATAAGACAGAAAAAATATTTCAGCCCAAAGTAAATGAAAAAAATATGAAAAATAAGTAGATGTAAATGATCAATGGAAAAAATATGCTGCAAGAGAAAGCAAACCCTCTCCCCAAAGAAAAATCCTCGCATGCGCTGTGCACTGAGTTTACCATAATTCCTCTTTATTCATAATCTGTGTCCAAAGTATCAGTTACCTCTGCTCAAGGGCAGTTCAAAAATATCAAATGGAAACTTCCAGAAAAAAACCTTCATAATTTGTAAAATTTGCAATATTCTCACTTTTGATGAACTCCTGTGCAGCCTCTTTCATCTTACCAAGGATGTCAATTATCCCTGTAACCATATACCCACCCTATGAATACCATACCCATTTGTCTCTTAGTAGCCTTCCTAGTGGTCAGCCTGAGCATTCAAGTTTCCTTACAGTATATTGTTGCTACTGTTGTTATCTTTATATTGTACCTAATTAAAACATTTTATCATAGGTCTGTATGTAGCTATAGGAAAACAATCTAGCATATGTATGATTTGGTGCTAGCTGCAGTTCTGGGCATCCACTGGTGGTCTTGGAATGTATCCCCTATGAATAAAAGGAGGCTATTGGATAAGGAAACAGATTTGTATAAGAAGAGGTCAAGTATAAAATCAAGTTACGAAACAGAAATGAAAGATTTTTAAGGAATTGTGGAGAACTAACATCAAGTCATTACAGAAGCAAGCAATAAATAGTGTGCCAAACATAAGCAGCAGACACACAAATATTGCTATTTTGGTTTTCTCCAATCTTTCTCATTTTTCTGAAACTAAAATGGAAAGATTTGCCCATGTCTATTTATTCAAATCATCATATGACCAAATTGTCCTTGATTGTAATCCTAGAGACTTGGGAGGCTGGGAAGAAGAAGATCATATTTCAAAGGCAGCCTAGACAAACAAAACCAAATAAAATCACAGTTCACAAGCCCTCCCTCTCAACCAATAGTTGGGTGCAGGACCGTACGCCTGTCATTTCAGTATTATGAGAGAGTGAGTTTGGGTGGATCACGGTATCAGACCACCTCAGACAAAAACTTCCATGAGACCAGACCTCAGTGGAAGAAGATGACACACATATAGCTGTCATCATAGCTATAGCACAAAGCCTAAAATAGGTTAATATCTAGATGATTGACAGCTGGTGAAAGAAATAAAACACTTTTTCAAAAATTATAAATGCTAAAAGGAACAGGAAGTGTGGTTCCACAATAGAGTGGCTACTTTGCTAAGTTCAAGTCCCAGTAGCACCAAGGAAAGGAAGAGAAAAAGGAAGGAAGGAAGGAAGGAAGGAAGGAAGGAAGGAAGGAAGGAAGGAAGGAAGGAAGGAAGGAAAAGAAAGAAGAAAGGAAAAATGAGAAAGGAAGGGAAGTGAAAGGAAGGAAAGAGGGAAGTAAAGACAGAAGGAAGGAGAAAAGAAAGGAAAGAAAGGAAGAAGGGAAGGGAAGGAAAGAAAGAAGGAAGGAAGGAAGATAAGAAGGAAAGAAAGGGGAGTGGAGCAGCAAAAAGAAAAATTAAGACAAATGGGATACTACATGGGTTTTAAAATGCAAGAATTTATACTTCAGGTTCTAAGGACAGTGTATTCTAACAAAATCTGGAATTATCATAAGGAATACATTTAATGGTTTTAATGATATCTTGAAGATAAAAATCTATCTGGGAATCCGGGAAAAGATAATTATTACTGTATCAGGCCACTTTAAATTGTCCCTTTGCTTACTGGTGTGATATTCAGAATTTTTCTAAGTATTTTCTTTAAATTTTTGGATAGTTTCTATTTCTAACTTTTCAAGTTCTTCATCTTTTCTTCTGTGACATCT